GAGAGAGAGAGAGATCCTCGTGTTATTATAAGCAGTGAAGTAAACTTTGTACAAGTTTGAAAAGCCTGTGAATGGAAAAAAATTATTTTTGGAGCAATATATAAATCTCGAATTTATTTTGTTCTTAAGATTAGTATGTCACACCTCAGGAATGTTAGTAAGCTTGGGGTGTGACACACCCATTTTCTTTTGAGAGTTCTCATCCTCCATTGATGATCTTTAAAGCTTGATGGCGGTCCTTCACTCCATAAGATCAAACTTATCTCATACAATAATCAAGGTATTATCTCTCTAAGTTGTTATATGTCAAAGATCATTTTATCTTTGATCAAAGGTTCTTGAAATTTTTATTTACAATCATGCTTTAGCTTCTTTAGACCTCCATTTTGATATTATCTTCATGACATTCTTACATAGTGCAATCCCTTACTTGTTTGTGTTTCATGCATTGATAAACCTTGATCATGCATAATTTCCTTTGATCTACCTCGCATGAATTCTCTAGAGCATTTCTACGTTTTGTTATTCAAATTCCATAGATATTTAGATCCTCTTAGAAGTGTATTTACCCATTTAGAGTTGGAACTTTTGCATGAAAAGTTGTTGTGGTGGACTGGTGGACCACCACAAGTAGTTTTGCTCTATCTTGCTCCATATTGATCCGATTTGCTCCATTCTTCTTGAAAACTGTTTTAAATAGACTTTATGGACTCTAAGAAGTGGTTTTAAAAGTGTAGAAAGCTTTCTAATTGAATTAGACACCTTTGATATTATAAACCACCCTTGGACTATTCATTGGGATAAAATTAAGTCCTTAAAAAGCTTGAATTTGTGGCCTTCGAACCATGGCTTCCCACATGTTTATATTGATGTTTATTTAATGTATTTACAAGTATTAAAAAATTCATAGTTGAAGAAATTGCGTATGTTAAGTGAAAAATAAAATTGTGCTTTTAATCTTGGGGTATGAGCTTTAATGTCATGTTTTATTGTTTATGTAAATTTAAATCTCATTAGATTATTATAATCAAGTGTATGACGTGTATAAAAAATTGTGATTTATGATAATGATGAAGAATAAAGATGGATTTATCATTTAATTTTGATATAATTAGGAATTTTAAGTGCAAGTCATATAATATGTCATCTAGATGTATATTGTGAGTATTTAGACATTGTATTGAGTTGAATTGTATTTTTTAGTAAGGGATTTGTAAAGGACCTATTAGGGTTTAATTTTTATTATTTAAATGTGTATAAACCAAGCTTGTAGGCTAGATTATGGTTTTGTATTGAGATATTCATGTATTTAAATCCTTGAGTTGTGTACCTAACCACTTGGTCTTATACCACCAACATAACACACTCCCTCCGCCATCCACCTAAGAGCCCATTCACTCTAAAGGTGCCAAGAGACACATGGTTTCTCATAGAATGATTCCACCCTAGAGTGAACAACCCCACCCATCACAGCCGCCCCTCGGGTTTGATGGCCTAAAAACCCTCCTCTGCTCACATCATGGATCGCTTATTGTGAAACTTGATCCAAACCTACAGTCACCCCAAATTCCTCGTTTTGGTTTATCCCATATGAAATGGTTTCTTCCGTGCCTGGTGATGTATAAGTACATACCTTTATCCAATTTGTGATCATGCTGTGTGGGGACAAGTTATCATTGGATTTGTTGAAACTAAATGCTAATGGTTGCTCGCTGGGCAATCCAGGTAGAGGTAAAACTGGTGTCTAATAACAATGCCAAGGCCTCAGAAGCAGCTCAATGCTGTTTAACCAAATTTTGGTCGGCAATGTTGGCAAAATACTTAATTCTATTCGAGGGCATGCATCTACGCCTACATGGCAATTTTAACAAAATAGAGGATGGAACATGTTTGTGATTTATATGTAACAGAGAGAACAAGGCCACCTTCAGATTTTATGTCTATACCCTTTTTAATTGATGTAACAAATTGTATTGTCTCAAGGGAAGATCGAAAGATGTAATTGATTCTTTTATTATGACTTTTAATGAAAACTAGAAGGAGATCCTTTCCCCTCTTATTACCAAAAAAACGAAACATTTTTCCCAAAAACCTTTGAAATCATCATGAGGAATGAAAAAAGATAGGGTTAATTCCCATTAGTAGGTCTTTGGATATAGCATGCCTTCTAGCATCAAAAGCATCCCTTAAATTGAAGAGTGACACCCATTGAGTGTGTGGCTAGTTGGCAAAGGGGGACTCATTTTTAATCTTTTTCTCATTTCATGCAAAAAGAAAATATTTTTTTCATTATTTCTACTAAAAAATCACAAAAAATACATGATTTCCGACGTAGTAGTAGACAAAAAATGTTTCAAAAGGATTGAAACAAAAAATCCAACTGAACACTTGTCTCAATGACACCATATAAAATATTTCAATAGCAGATCACATGAAGAAAAGCATTTACTCATGGCAACAACTTATGGTCTATAAGTAGAATTGTTTTTTTTCTGAGAAATGTTGACTTTGTATAAAAAGGTAAAGTTTACAAAAGTATCCAAAAATTGGCAGCCCACAAGTTGGGTGCTCTGTATATATCAAAGAAAAGGCAGCCCACAGGTCGGGTTTACATAGAATTGTTTCAACATGTACTTGGTTCAAAACCACACACCAAAAAAGCATGGATCAAGGAACAATGATTTTTGTCATCCTTAAAATAAGCTAAAGCCATTTAAATAAGGTAAGACACTAGACAAAAAAAAGATAACTTAAATTAAAGACAAACTTTGACCAGTTCGACCTCATATGTCAACCATGCATTTCCTGGGACTTTCTTCCATCCTTCTTGTCCATAACTGCACTTCATACATAATGCACATAATTATTGCCAACAAAAATAAATAAATAAAACAAACCAGGATGTTCTTACAATGTATCAAGTTAACTTAGATTACAATTATAAAAAAAAATGGACAAGGAAATTATCAGAATATAGCATGGGATACTCACCCCATTGATGGAGGGATGACCAGCCTACGTCTACCTCCTACCCTCATTCCTAAGGGGATTAAAGTCTCAATAAATAGATGGCAAAAATCACATGCAAAACAAGAATACATTAATTTCAAGAGAAAATTAATCTCTTAAAGGCCTGGCATGCAAACAAGTTTTTACCTCTAACACCTTCGTCAAAGCCATCTATGGTCTTTCCGTCCCCTGCAAATATTCAAGCCAATCGTAATATAAATCAGATCCCCTATAGATTCACAAATGCACTGAAGCAAAATAATGAAAACATCATGACTCACAGATATTTCAAAATTGAAAAAATGAGTGAGATATCCAAGTCGGATACTTCACAAAGATGCGTAAAAAATAACTAAAGATAGGTGCTTTAAGCAGCCGAATCCACGTATCATAGAATAACATTTCTGCAATGAAGGCATCAAAAAAATAAAATAGTACAAGTCTAAATACCTATATAAAATTCATATAACCTCCCTTGTTTACTCTTTTGAACAATTTCTCCACTATCCAGCAACATGCCCACATATTTTACATGAACCTAAAAGCCATAAGAAACAACCATCTCAAAATATAAAATGGAATTATTTGAAAAAAATGAAAGCAGAGCTATTATGAAAGGCATCATAATTGAGAAAATAGTTAGAGAGAGAATTTGTACTTTTTTCCCCTCATATGCCATTTCACCATTTTCATCACCTTGACATATATCCTCGACAATAAGTTCCTCTTTTGGAATAGATGCATCACCCAATTCATCATCACTCAAAATAATTAGTCTTCTCCGCTTCTTACTTTTCCTATCGAAGTATTACTTAGTTCCAAAGATTTAAAAAAATAGTAATAATAATAAAATAAAATAAAATAAAATAAATTTAATTAGAAGCAAAAGAATACTTTGAATCCTCAGATAGAACTCCAATATCATCTAGAAATTCCTCTTTGAGATCATCTTTGTCGCTTCCAATACTTCGTTTTCTCTTCTTCATACGAATCCTATCACTATTGAATATTACTTAGTTAGCAAATGAAGACACATACAAGTACACACTAATTTTCAGAATAAGTTCAAACTAAATTAAGAAAATATGTACTGTGAACATCAATCCTCATACTCGGGGAAAACTCCGCTATCATCTATAAAATCATCGTCATAATCATAATCTGAAGAATCATGACTTGATGACGATTCCTCATCGATGTCCTCCCCAACTGGCTCCCTAAAACCAACCCACGCATAAGAAAGAAAACTTTAAATATTCACAAAAAGGGCAACAATTGTAGGAAGTAGCAACTTACAAATCACTAGTATGACTACTATGGTGAATATGTGGTGGACAAAAATATCCCAAGATATGGATACCACGAGAACCAAAGATGCTAAAAATAACATCATCATCTTCTTCAAACTCAACATTAATGGAGGAACTTTCACATTGCCCTGGGGAAAGCATACAAAGGAAAATAGGTCTTCTACCATTGATAGCACATTGCAAAACACTCTTATCCAATGATGAACCATGGCTCAGGGTGGCCTGTCACATATCAAACCAAAATCATGATACAAAATTTAAATTGCATGAAAAGATCTTAGAAGAGAAAAAACTAAAGAATACTGATAAAAAAACATGCACAAGAATTGCTTATGGCTAACACAAAAGAAATAACCATTCTACTCGATACTAGACTAATTACTTTATCATCAAATTTCATTCCCAAAATTCTTGAGTTTCCCCAGGGTTTGTGAAATAGAAACATAGAGCTGAAGGATGCAATGATGATAACTACGACAAGAAGGCAATGAAATAACACATCAAACCAAGAAACGTGTTCAATTTTTTAATTTAATGACATGATTTTTGCAAATACTAATAAAGACCAAATATCAGATACATGTACATGTACAGGCATAAAAAAATGAGAATGGTTAAAAAGAACAAGAATATATTTTGAACCATGAAAAAGAAATAAATATATTCCTCACAGATATAACTAACAAAATTATCATTATCATTATCATTTCATTCCCAAAATTTGGGAGATTTCCCTCAAAGCTCTAAACATAGAAACATTGTGCCACAGGATGCAATGCTGATAGCTGCCACAGGAGGGTAATGAAAAGAAAGCATAGTTGATACCATCAAACCTTGGTAAAAAGAGTACAAAAATCAGCAGCCATGGACCCCTGATATTTAAAGCAATACAGAGAAAGAGAGCATCAAAATATGGAGGGAAAGAGTAAAACGGCAACATGAGTTCTTACCCTTAGATTTTATCAATATGTTCATCAACACTAGTTATACCAATCTCGATTCCTTGGCATAAAAAACAAAAGAGTTAAATACAAGAGTTGGGAAAAAGATCTGATGATGATGATGAATATCATTGGCATAAAAAACAAAAGAGTTAAAACTTCAATTCTTGAACAAAATCAAATAACGTTAAAAAAGAACCAGAATTAGAAGGGTCTCAATGATGAGGATTTCAACAAATAGCTCCAACTCTCCTTTTCTAATTTCAGGTGACAAAACCTTAATGCTTTCCTCCCTCACACTTGAATATCCAAGACAATGTTAAAAATAATGTTCTATTTCTATTGGTAAGCACGATTAGAGGATATACAGTATTGGATTACATTAAATCATGTTTGAATGGGTTTAAACTTCCTGTACTCCAACAGTATGGAGAAATATCCTTCACTAGAATTTTGAAGACGTTTACATTAAATCATGTATGAATGGGTTTAAACTTCACGTACTTCAACAGTAAGGAGAAATCACCTTCACTAGAATTAAGAAGGTGATGAGAACAACCAATGCTTCCATCCATGATCCAACCAAACCATCTCAGATAATTAACCTATTTGAGGTGATTGACAATCTAAGTGACAACATAAATGTAGCATGCATTAAAAAAAAAAACTAACATGCCGATGCACTAGGCAAGTGTGGAAACAAGCAAGTCACACATGCAAACTCAAGAAATCCATGTCAACATGTGTCTGGAAACTTTCATTTTTAGATCGGAAAAAATGGCACATCTGCTATGTCGACATGTGGTCCAAAAAGTGGACAAATAAGGTGCACATCCATTTTGTAAGACACACGTCCACATTGTAGGATGTGTGTTCATTTTGTCAAACACATGTATCTCCACAATTGGGCGCACGTATCTATAACTCAAACACAGGCTTTTTTGATCTTGACTAGCATGTTTTATTTTTAATTAATTCCATTGTTAAAAGTCACAAAATAATAAACATATAAATATATACATACATACACATTCATAAACAGACACGCAATGCAAGTGTTTTGTAGATTTCTAGAGACATATCAGACTAGAGTTGGCACAATGTACATAAGTGAGTCCAATTCTTCAAATTAGAATCAGATATGGATTCTCATATCCATGTCCTTGCAATATAGTTGACCATGCATATGCCTTCATCAAATCGCATTGCTGCAAATAATGTGGGAGGTAGAATTGTAGCTATCTCCACATTCTAATGCCGTCAAAGAATTTTAAAATAGGCTACAGCAATCTAAAGGCAGTGGCAAGGCTAAAAGCAAAAAAACCATCCATGAGGAAAGCTTTTACCAGGCCATGCAATAGTAGAAAAGAAAATCATAGAAAAGATGTTCTCATCAGCATTACATCTTGCTAATGTCATGCGACAAAAATCATAGTTTGGACCATACTTCAAATTGAGTCATGACTCGAACTGCTAAACTTGGAGGAGTTTTGCTTTTGTTCCTTTTAAAGAAAAAATGCAGCAAATATTTTGTTAAATCTAATGACAGTTTAAAATGTTTGAATATAGGCAGTTGAATATCTTCATGTGATTTTATATGCAAATTAAACTTGCCTAATTTATTTCACTATCAAATGAGTTTGAAGGAGCATGAAGAGACATATTACATACAAGGAATTTGCTTAAGGTTCTCTACTTTGCAAACATAGCTTAAACAAAAGAAGAATAAAAGTTAAAAGAGAGTATGTGGATGACATGACCACAAAGAAAATTATGATAAAATATCAATCTGGATGGAATGGAGGATGCACTGCATATTATAAAGGTGTTTTCTAACAATGTTATCAAATCTACTTCGAAAGCCTCTTTAATGTGGCCTAAAAAAGGAATATAGCTTCAGTGCTACAAGGGCAATTTAGGAGAAGGCTTCAGGTATTAGAAGAATAAAAAAAAATCTCATAACATAAACATATTATCAGAAGAAAAATAAAAAAAATAAAGCCGCAAATTAACACTTCAACAAATCTTTTATGTGAGTTTTACTTACAAAATGTTAAAACACTTGAATTGCTCACAACCATTTATTTTCACACGAGCACAAAGGGTTTGTGTGTGTGTGTGAGAGAGAGAGAGAGACTGCAGTTTTTTAAAAAAATTTGATGGAAAAATTGAAAAAGGTGTGGCCTTGTGATTTAAACTTATTTAGTACTTGTTGTTTCAATCATTTTTTACATCACAAAGTCCAAAACAAAAATTCTCGAACGTCGTGACGCACTTTCATCAATTGAATTTCACATCCAATGGCTAAAAGACATTGTGACCTCCTTGTACAAAAAATAAACCCGATCTTTTTTATTTGAGAGGGATGTTTTTTTCATTTGAGAGAGAGACAATTTTTTATCCTTTAAAAAGGAATATGTGGCACATTGATATAATAACTCAATATGGCGTGTGACACCAATAATCATTCTTGTTAAATGCAGCTGCATCCCTCATTATGTGGCCACTTTATGCACTAAGCGCCCTAAGGCACATCATATCAGGCCGCAATGCTCTTTTTGGTAGAGGCCCACATATCCGGCTCATCACTTGCATATGCGAGCGCATAGCAAATGGAATATGTGCCCACATATGCAGCCCATGAAAATTCGACCCATGGACAAAAAGGTAATCCCCCCCCCCAAAAAAAAAAAGTAAAACTAAAAGAGTAAAATCAATCGTTCTTTGATGATTAGAAACTAAAAAGTAAAAAAACAATTGTATTTGAATTATTCTTGATCCAAAGTTTCTGAAAAAGAGTAAGAGAATCTTTTAGTCATCTTTTTGAATAAATTTGTATTTAGATTATTTCTTGAGAACTGGTTATCTTTTGTCTCTATTGTCTAAATAAACTTTTAGCGGTTGTCTCTTTGGAGTTTGGAATTTTGGATGTCTATGTGACGTTTGGCATTTTGGATGAGTTAATTGAGAAAGAATAGATTATTTTCCATGTTAATTGTATCAAAGATTAGCAACAAACTTTATGACTCTTTATCATGCTATCAAGGGACTAAGTAAAAGTCCCAGAAAGCAAATATATTTAAATAAATTAAAACACCTACTATGACATAATCCGATCAATGTTTTTTTCTATGCATTATTATATCTATTGTACTTTTAGATTTCTTGTATATTTATTGATAACATCGAAGGTGATGCACCTGCATCGAAACCGCATCGAGCCACTTCGTCGCATCGGCCCCAACTGCATCCGGTCCACATCCCATAATTTAAACCAACGTTTGATAATTTATTTTAATTTTACACAAGTCAGCTTCACAACAACAACTATTTAAAATTTTTTTATTGTCTTCAGTTCAGTTCAGTTGAGCAGAGAAACCCAAAGACTTCATGATTTGGCCGAAGCAAAGCAAAAAGGACAGCATTGTTTTTTAAGATTGATATTTGGAGTCAAAACCATCATACTGAATTCAACCCATAGATGAATGGGAAATGACAATTAAATATTAGGATGTTCTATAGTGGCTATCTGAAGCCCTTTCGGATGCTCCTAAGAAGATCATTTGACTCATGAATGAGATTACAACTGTTCATAGAAGACGTTTTATTCTATTTTGAGCACATTATTGTTTGAACTAGTTTCAAGAGAGACATATCTTAGAATTCCTGGTGTATAAGCTACAATATCTATATTGCACGTCAAGAAATGATGACAGAAGAGGGTGTGGGCAACTTTCCAAATAGAATGTACATCGTCACTTGTTTGCATCAATTAGCATGAGCACCGCAATGAGAAAATCATAAGGCCATATTACCATGTTGACCATTGACACAACATCATAGACACTGGTTGGACATGCACTAAATGCATCCCTTGCAAACGAAGAGTACATATTCCTCGTTGATAGGGCAGACTTTCTAGCCTTTGTTACTGCTTGTTAGTAGAGCAGGTACTACAAGGACATGGTTGAGGATATCAAGCACAGGCCTACTATGAAGTTGTCAATCAAAACCTGAAGTTTCCATGGACTTGCAACCTTTTTATGGTTGACTCATCCAGCATTTCAATTATGGCGCTGCACAAATTATGGATTCCATTTAAGCAGGAATTTTCATATGGATACAGACATTGAGTAGAGTTTTTAGTCAATAAACAGCAAGACGACTGAAATGCTAGTTTTTTCTTTACTTAATTTTAACAAAGCATTCAAGGTAGAGGGGACTCATTGCAAGGCAGTCGAGCTGTCGTAAGTCAAGAGTATCATCACATAGTCTTAATGT